GGTGACGTGCAGGGGAGATAAAGACGGACCGTAATTAGAGGTCAAAACAAGAGGAGAGATGCTGGCGCTCCGGGCTTGATGAACGGTGAGCAGCATCAAAAGTTCTGAGGACAGCGTCGATAAACAAAGTAGCGTGATCCAACATTGGGTCACATGCTCACAAAAACGCGTGGTGGGGCGTTCGGGCCGGGGAATAAAAACATAGAACTCGTGTAGCGCACTCAATTCTCAGTAAAATATTCTATCATTCAATAAAATCATATAGTAACATCGCCGAAACAACTTAAGATAAGCAGTTTTTTGAAAAAGTTTAAAAAAAGTAAAAGTCTGACTGAACCTGAGAGTTGACTACGATTTTGTGTATGAACTGTGGACACCTTCGATAACTTATGGAACATCCACCGCAAGAAGTATCGTTATAAATTCATTTGGCAAAATAGTGAAATTCTTTTGACTAATTTATCGGATTTTCAAGCTTTTAGGAAGGGAATTGACTGCCAGAAACAAGCTTGTGTTTTTATGATCTCCGAGTCTGACAAGTATGATAGTATCTCGTTGAAATTTTATGAATTCTACATAACAAAATACTTCCTTAGTCTTTGTTTAAATACGCTGATCTACTCTCAGCTACACTGGCCCGATATGTAGCCAGTGGCCTGTTGCCGGACCTAGAACTTGAAAACACATGGAGCATGTGTATTCCATTTAACATGGAATGGGGGAGAACACGCATGGGTTGACTGCTCACCAAGCATGGTTGTAAAGTCTGTCAAAGTTTAAGTAGCGTTGATACAACCCAAATATGCGAAGTTAAAGCGCACCGTTTCCTTGATTCGGGAAGAAAATCAGTACGGCAGCCAATTATTACACATGTGTGGTGGGTATGCCGCCATGGAGGCGTCGTCACCTACAAGCAATCACGAGATAAGTGTTCAAGCTTTGTACTGAAGCGGGGGAATGCACTTAACTTGAATACCACATGTGTGGGGATGTGGAACGGCAAGCACCATGGCGTGTAGTACTTAACCCATCACTGTGGGAGGGTACTATTTGCCATTTCGTGTTTATGCTAAATTGTTGAGTCTCGATCCTATAAAATTCAGTGGCTGACCTTTCTTGTTAAGTGGTTACCTTCTAAAAAGCCTGCAGCTTTCATGGCCGATCCCGAGACACTCACCAAATCAGCTCGAAAAGAAGTCGTTCTCGAGTTGCCCATGGAACCGTCGACCTGAAACGTCCTCGCCTTCCCTCCAAAAGCAAGGGCGTCAACCCCAAGAGCGAAAAATATCGCGAGCAGTTCGAAAAAGGTAGCAGCACGAGGATCTTCGAGCTCCACGAGGACACCCCTCCCTCCCCTGTAGAAGTTCCTAGCGCTAAACGTCAACGCTCCAAGATACAGCTCTAACGCATTGGAATTGGAAAACGTTTCGCGCAGGCTCGGCCGCAATAGCACACGTCTACCATTGTAAAATTCCCTGTCCATCTTCGTAGACAGAGCGTTGAATCGGCAAGGGGATTT